CAGGAATAGCACCCCAGGACTGAAATGCAGGACACAGATTCATGGCTAAGGTTATGGTGCTGAGAAAGGCTGAGCACCTGTGCCTCTGGCTGAGCTCGGGGCTGGGTGCCAGGCTGGGGGAGCTCCTCTGTATATAGTAGTCTCTAACATCTCCTGTCTCTTCAGCTGTTACTCTAAAGGGCCACTTGAATTGCAGCAAGAACTGAGGCATCTTTCCAGCATGGCCATGGAGTCGAGCAAGACTTTGGGCTGGGAGCAAAGTGCCTTTGGAGGCAATTCACAGCCACTTGGCATTGCCATAGTTTCTGCCACCACCATGAACAAGTCCACCTTGCTCAGCTTCCAACTTCCCCACAGATGACATCGAGCAGAGAAGCTCCTGCTCTAGATCCATGCTGTGCCTCAGCTGGCACTGAACATGACTTACAAGCAACTCTGCTTGTAAGGAACATGTCTCTACTGTCAAACTTCTCCATTTCCACCAGGAGAAAGCCTCACCACGCTCAGAAATACTCTGCTTGCTGAAGACCCTTCTGTAAAACTGTCAAATTATTCATTCTGTTAAACACTTGCTCACTTTCAATAAAATTCCTCTGCTTAGTAGTATCAGATGTCTGATGTTCCTTTGCCTATGCTCATACTCCACTTAGAAGGGACCACCAACCACTCTAAACTAGAGAGGGATGTCTAGACTCCAGATGGTAGAGACTATGTCCAGCTAAATTGCTCCTGTCCTGACTCATTTCCCCGAGCAGGAAGTTCTACCCTAAGTAACCTGTGACCTTGGGCTGATAGAAATGTTTCTCCAGACAGAGGCAGCAGCTGCATGGCTGTTCCTCCAAACAGAGCAGTTGTACTGAAGGTAAAAGTCACCTAAGAGAAAAGACCAAAGGCAATCAAACCATGACCATCTACTGGAGGGATCATCTCCTTTGCAAACTGAACAGCCAGGTTCTTCAGGGAGTTCCTGTCAGCATTTCCCATGTCAACTTAGGACAGACTAGTCTTGATTTAGATTGATAATACTAAAGGTTATAATCTGGTTTAGAACAAAGCAGTTCAACAAGCAGAGCCTAGACAGAGCAGCATGGATCCCTTCAAGCCCAGTTAGACATCAAAGCCACCAGCAGGAGCCACAAATTTTGTTGCAGAAGTCACTGAGATGGGTCACCTCTGGGCTCATAGCCGAGAGATACCCATGGCTACCCATTCCCTTAGGAAGAGCTCCTGCAGAAACACTTCTGCATTCCTTAGCTGACAAAGCAAAGCAAAGGAAAGGGTTGAGAAAATAACAAAGGAAGGAAATTGGAGAAGCATTTCCATGGGCTGAAGAAAAGGGATAGCTAGCAGAATAGTCCTGAGCTGTAAATGTTGTTCCTCCAGTCCAGTTGATTTCTTTTCATCCATGTCATTGATTTCACTGAAAATATTTGGCCCTGAACAAGACTGTAACAAATTCTCTGAGAAGGAGCAGCCACAGCCGAGAGATACTTCTGGTTTGTTGCCTCATTGATCAGAGCTCACC